AGGGGGAAAAAACCGCTTAGACGATAATCCCCCTTTCAGAGACAGGCACAGCTACGGTATAATCACCAAAACTCACGAACCGCCAATAAGTGAATGCTCCAAACTCCCGAACGGCATGCAAGGGAATAAGGTAGCACTTCAAATAAACGAACAGGAACCATACAAATAGCTGCTAGCAGGCGAACAGGAAAAGCTTCCAAGCGGCTTACACTCCTGGCAATCAGTCCTTAGCAGCATACAGTAAATCCCCCCAAAGACGAGACAAGGCTCCGTGTTGAGGGTCAAGCAGTGGTCTGTTTAATGAGGGCTACCTGCCCAGCTTTTATGCAGGTCTCCCACCTGGTGGACACTCCCCTAGGGGACCAAATGGGAGACTGTGACAAGGGACAGACAAGTATACAAAAAGGACACACAGTCACAGTATATTCCCACAATGCATCCTGGCTTCCTCCCCTCTGCCCTGGGAGATAATTGGGAAGTAACTCAATTATCTCCCAAGACAAAGGCAAAACTCCATTACACACGTGGGAACACAAAACAGCATTATACTTTAAAATGCACAAAGTAACATTTACTACATTAAACACAGGCATGTAACACATCCCCAGATAGCTCAGGTCTGAGTGCACATTATTAGGTGAATGGCACTCAGACTACACGAATACAGTTCAATCGCCATGGAGCCAAAGTCTTTACAGTCAGTTTCATACGAATGGGCTCCATGGGATTCCTATCTGGGGTATAAGACATTCACACAAAAATACCGAACACCGGGTCATTCGTGTGCTTTCACCGAACAAGAAGGGAGGTCGGCGGCTTCAGCGGTGTTCGCGCAAAACTGTGTCCGATTTTAGTTCCATGAAAATAGAGGCGAACACCGCTGTTCATTCGTATGGTTTAAAATGGCCGCGACCTCGTGTTCGGGATACGAACGGCGGCCACCCAGCGTTCATCAATTAAGCTGCGGTTAACCGCAGCTTCAGGGAGGTTAATTGCCGGCACACTCCAGCTCCCAGGTGGTCCAGTCATTCGTACGGTTGTTCGGTAGATTGAAACTACCGAACAACCGGCAGAAAAGCATGAATATGGCTTTTCTGCATGGAAAAATAAAGTCTTTTAAAAGGGGGCCATAGTCCAAAGGCAGCAGGCGAGCAACCAGGCTTCTCCAATGCAATGTGGCGAGATTGGTCTCGTCACACAACTTAAGCACACATTTCACCTTTCCCCCCCGGCAACATCTGACAGGACACATTTTCAAAATAACCTTTCCTTTTACAATCCAAAAAAACAGTCCAGACATCCATAAATGAATCTGTAGAAATATTCTTCTTTTGATTATACTTTAAGATGATGGATAAACAGCAAAATGGCTATGTTTAACGTTTTGGTTTCAGAACAGAAGAGAGATTATGATTATAGAGATTATTATAAGTTCTGTATGTGTTATACAGGACTTGTCGTATGTTATAACAAAGCAGTTCTAAAAAAATAAATAAACAAAAATAAAACGATTTAAAAAAAAAAAGAAAAGAATCAATAAATAACCCCGATTGGTCTGAGGTCATTTCCCGTATCTTTTGGCAGCGGGCCCATAATCAGTGCATGGTACGCTGCCGTATGAAGCAAAATTGGAGGGCCTTTCGAGGTGTTTGAAGGTAAGGGGATTTTGGTTTGCCACAGGGTGTTGTCGCGCATGTGGCAGCTACTGTGTTTCTGGATGATGAAGGTCCGGCTAGACCTTTATTCGTCTTGCCATGCAGAAAGTGGTGGAACAGGCCTGGTTGGTTTTGGTGGGGCTCCCCGCTGATTTTAGGTTTAAAACAGCGGGGTTTGTGGCGGGGAGCGTGTCCTTGCCAACAGGGTTGGGGAGCAGATGGAATGTCAGGAGATGGACATGGTGGGTCTCAACCTCCCCTGCTCTGTAAGGTAAACTTTTAAGTTACGAATAGGACGTGCCCACCGAGCAAAAAGCCGGCTGGTGGTAGAGCATTTAAGATGATGGGAATTTTTGGTTTGGACGAGGGGGGAGGCGAGACACCAGTGGGTAAAGTTTTGGTGCATAGGCACCTGGTTAAGTTCGTTGGCAAGGACGGTTAATTAAGTTGGAGGCTGTAGGGCAATAAGTGTAATTTATATGTTAATTTATATGTTAATTATGGTATGTATATATATTTATCTGTTTATTTATATTTGAATTAAAGAAAAAGAATAAAGTTCGGATGAGTCCTGCAGTTGTAAATTTAATAAATGCTGTGGCCTGTTTCATCCAATATTTGTTGTTTGTCATTATTGGGGGGAGAATTGGGGTAGTCTCCTTACTCTTAGTCGTACCACATTCCCCGCTACGTACATACAAGGCCCTGGGGAGTCAGCATAGCTAAACGGACAAGGGCACATGTATGAGTGTGGGGATGGTGCTAGTGATTGGCTATATGTGTTTAGGGGAGTGGTTATGGGTTTGTAGTGGGGCAGGGATCATCTTACCTCAGTGCCTTTTGGGATTCTGGCCAGCAAAAAACTTCACACCCACGCTAATTTACTGTTTTTGTTCTGTCACAGCTAGCGGGGAGCGTGTCCTTGCCAACAGGGTTGGGGAGCAGATGGAATGTCAGGAGATTGACATGGTGGGTCTCAACCTCCCCTGCTCTGTAAGGTAAACTTTTAAGTTACCGAATAGGACGTGCCTACCAAGCAAAAAGCCAGCTGGTGGTAGAGCATTTAAGATGATGGGAATTTTTGGTTTGGACGAGGCGGGAGGCGAGACACCAGTGGGTAAAGTTTTGGTGCATAGGCACCTGGTTAAGTTCGTTGGCAAGGACGGTTAATTAAGTTGGAGGCTGTTGGGCAATAAGTGTAAATTATATGTTAATTTATATGTTAATTATGGTATGTATATATATTTATCTGTTTATTTATATTTGAATTAAAGAAAAAGAATAAAGTTCGGATGAGTCCTGCACTTGTAAGTTTAATAAATGCTGTGGCCTGTTTCATCCAATATTTGTTGTTTGTCATTATTGGGGGGAGAATTGGGGTAGTCTCCTTACTCTTAGTCGCACCACATTCCCCGCTACGTACATACATTGATCGTGTGCGCATTTATTTGGAAAGTCCTGCAAGTGCTGTTTAAAATCACTAGCTCACTGAATGACCTTCGCTAAACATCGGAAGTGTTGCACGGAGCTTTTTGTGGTGAAAGTCCTAGCACCAAAGGGAGGACTGTGAACATATGTAACCTGCTACTGACATGCTGTCAGCCATTTTGCTGTTTATCCATCATCTTAAAGTATAATCAAAAGAAGAATATTTCTACAGATTCATTTATGGATGTCTGGACTGTTTTTTTGGATTGTAAAAGGAAAGGTTATTTTGAAAATGTGTCCTGTCAGATGTTGCCGGGGGGGAAAGGTGAAATGTGTGCTTAAGTTGTGAAAGAGGAAGTCAGGCTTTTATGTGTTAACTCTTATTAAAGACAAGCGATATTTTAGGGAAGTAAGACACATGACTGTGGTCAAGTCATCAGATAGAAAGATCATGTGATACTTGAACTTTTGAACCTTAAATTTGTCATTTATGCTAGAATTTAGGCAATAGAAAATAAGACCATATTTGGAGTTCTGATTCAAGCTAAATGAAAGGCCAGTTCCGGGTCTTATGTATAAAATATGAGGAATTGTAACATGATGTTAGATTGCTTCTTGCCAATCTCCATGAGATTTCTCTGTGTATTGTAATGGTCAATTAAATGCTTTTATTGAACCTGGTAATATTTTTTTCTACTTCCACAAGGGTGTATGTGGATATTGTGTTGTATACCAGCAATTCCCTCTAGGGGAGCTTTGCACAATGCACAGTTTGTCCCTAACCAGCTCCTGAAGTAAGTGTGCAAGGCATGCTGGGATGGATACACCCCCTAGATTTGCGTTTGCGACTAGTTCCTCTACAGTAGAAGGACCCTGTCCTCTCTGAGGATGGGAAATAGCTTGCTCAGTGTGAGTAAGCTAGTTCCTATCCTTCCAAGGGACCTTTTCGCCCCCTACTGGTCAGGTCCTGTATAGGTCCTGTCACAGTGAGAGAGCTAGTTCCCATCCTGCTAAAGGACCTATTGCTCCATAGTGTTCAGGTCCTCTTAACCCCTTAAGGACACATGGCATGTGTGACATGTCATGATTCCCTTTTGTTCCAGAAGTTTGGTCCTTAAGGGGTTAAAGGATAGGAACTAGACAGCTCACAGTGAGAAATCTAGTTCCTATCCAGCAAAAGGACCTTTACAGTTCCAACTCACACAGGTCCCTTACAGGGATAGGAACTATACGGTTCAGAGTGAGAAATCTAGTTCCTATCCTGTAAAAGGACCTTTATAGCTACAGCTCACACAGGTCCCTTACATGGATAGTAACTAGACAGTTCACAGTGAAAAATCTAGTTCCTACCCAGCAAAAGGACCTTTATAGCTCCAGTTCACACAGGTCCATTACATGGATAGTAATACCTAGTTCCTATACTGCTAAGGGACCTCTATACCTTCAGCTAACAATGGTCCTTTACAGGGATAGGAACTAGACGGTTCACAGTGGGTTGCGACTAGTTCCTATCCAGTAGAAGGACCCTGTCCTTTCTGAGGATAGGAAATAGCTTGCTCAGTGTGAGAGAGCTAGTTCTTATCCTGCTAAAGGACCTTTTCGCCCCCTACTGGTCAGGTCCTGTATAGGTATAGGAACTAGACGGTTCACAGTGAATAAGCTAGTTCCTATCCTTCTAAAGGACCTTTTTGCCCCTAGTGGTCAGGTCCTGTATAGGGATCAGTTGCGTCGCTAGGGGGGGCAGAGGGGGCCATGGCTCCCCCTACATCATGCTGTGGCCCCCCCAAATGCCGTCAACTTGCCCCTCCCCCCCGAAAACAGTGCAGCTGCCATCATTAGGGGCTTGGTCGGGTGCTGCAGCCCTTTGGCAGACTGGGCCCCTTTAAAGTTGCAGGGAGTGCTGGGAGGAAGTGACTGTTACAGACCGCACGGGCTGAGAAGACACAGGCTGCAGGCAGCTGAGAGAGGAGGAGGAGGCAGCTGGGAGAGAAGGAGGAGGGAGGAGAGAGAGCTCTGCAGCTTCAGACTCCCACCAGGATCAGCCAGCCCCAGAAAGTCACCTCCCTGCAACCAAAAGGTATGGAAGGGGCAGGGTGAGTGGTTAACATTATGGAAGCTGCAATTTGTGTGTGCCAGTGTGTATGTTTAGGTATGTGTACATCTGTGTGTATCTGTGAGTTTCTGTGTGTATCTGTATCTGTGAGTGTCAGTGTGTATGTGTGTGTATCTGTGAGTGTCAGTGTGTCAGTGTGTATGTGTGTGTATCTGTGTCAGTGTATATCTGTGAGTGTCAGTGTGTCAGTTTGTATGTGTGTGTATCTGTGTCAGTGTGTGTGTGTATCTGTGAGTGTCAGTGGGTATCTGTATATGTGAGTGTCAGTGTGTATGTGTGTGTATCTGTGAGTGTCAGTGTGTATCTGTATCTGTGAGTGTCAGTGTGTATGTGTGTGTATCTGTGAGTGTCAGTGTGTATGTGTGAGTGTGTATGTGTGAGTATCTGTGAGTGTATCTGTGAGTGTCAGTGTGTATGTGTGTTCATTTTTATTTATTTTTATTTATTTTTATTTATTTTTATTTATTTTTTTATTTTATTTTTTATTATTAATTATTAATTATTTTTTATTATTACTTATTTTACATATTTTTTATTATTAGTTTTTATTATACTCATTTATTTTTGTTTTGAGTTATAAATTTACTTTATTTATCTTTAAGAATGGGATAAAGAGTGCAATATAAATAGGTTATATTACTCATATTAATGTCTATATATCATATATGTATGTATATGGTTTGTTATATATTTTATAATCATTTAAAAATGTTAGACTATCATATTATTATTCATGCATTCTATGAAATAAGATGCTATTTCCATATAAATCATAAGAAGGAAATGTGTGTGGCAAATATGTGAAAAAATGTCTTATAAAACTTGTACCCAATGAAAATGGGATATATATATATGTATATACACATGTATCCATAACTATAGATTACATGGAGAATGTACATTTTTTATTTCGGTTTGTAGTGCCATCCAGAGTATATTCTTTTAATTGCTTGTCCCTCCCCTCTCCGTTTTATCCACCTGCCTATATATTCTCTGAGCTAATGCATTAGAATAGGAGAAAGCAACAGACAATCGCGACCCACTTCCGGGTTTGCGGAACGCAAGGTGGAACGCACGCGACCCACTTCCGGGTCTGTGGAACGCAAGGTGGAACGCACGCGGCGCACGCGATGACGTCACTCGATCTCATATCGCCGAAAAGAAAATCGAACACCAGCTGAAAGAACTTAAAGATTAAATGGGGGTGTATATAAAGGACTGTGGGGGGGATATTGTTATTATTGCTGCTATTTCTGATTGCACTTTATTACACCAAGTCCCTGAGGAAGTCCAATTTCAGGACGAAACGCGTAGGACGTGTATGGTGACATGCTGTTTGTTTTATACCTAAATGTAAGTCATTAAATATATTTTTTAACATATTCTGGAAGTGCACTACATTTTTGTACATTTTCTCTTTTTGAGACACACATATCTATTTCGCTGATGAATATGTGAGGAGAGACAACATACTGGATATTGAATAACACCATTTAAAGCTGCTCTAACTCCATAAAGACATCATTCAAGGCTATCTTAAATCTTCAAAATTGTGAGTGACCATTTGTGATCACACATCAATACCAGTCTCCACACAGTTATATGCTATGTTTTTTATTTGTATTTAGCAGATTGTCCCCTATTTTTCTGTGTGTATCTGTGAGTGTCAGTGTGTATCTGTATCTGTGAGTGTCAGTGTGTGAGTGTGTATGTATGTGTATCTGCGAGTGTCAGCGTGTGTGTGTGTGTGTGTATGTGTGTGTGTATCTGTGAGTGTCAGTGGGTATGTGTGAGTGTCAGTGTGTATGTGTGTGTATCTGTGAGTGTCAGTATGTATGTGTGAGTGTGTATGTGTGTGTATCTGCGAGTGTCAGCGTGTATGTGTGTGTATGTGTGTGTGTATCTGTGAGTGTATGTGTGTATCTGTGAGTGTCAGTGTGTATGTGTGTGTATCTGTGAGTGTCAGTGTGCATATGTGAGTGTCGGTGTGTATCTGTGAGTATGTGTGCATCTGGGTGTGTCAGTGTGTATCTGTGAGTTTCAGTGTGTATATGTGAGTATGTTTGTGTGTTATTGTGTATCTGTGTGTACCACTGCACTCAGATTCCGCTTTTCACTCTGGCCCACAGCCTCAGAGGTGTTCTGCATTAGAAAGACACTGCTAATCCATCCAACAATACAAGGTAATAGAATATACAGGCAAAATTCTGGGTACTGAAGGTGTATATATTGAAGGGTAGAACACCACATAAAAGTGCAACTTTTCAGCCCTAGACGGACTTAAACATGATCCTCTAGGGCCGAAACGTTGCACGTTTGCACTTTTAAGGTGTTCTATACTCCAATAAATATATCTTGAGTACCTGGAGTTTTGTCTGTATATTCTATTGCCTTGTATCTGTGTGTGTATGTGTGTCATTTTGTGTATATTTAGGGATGTGTGTGTATTTGTGTGTATATGTGTAGGTATGTGCATCTGTGTATGTAGGTATCTGTGTGTGAATGTGTAGGTATAGGTTTGTATGTGTGTGTGTGTGTGTGTGTATGGACTCAGCAGTCTTTGTGTGTGTGTGGACTCAGCAGTCTGTGTGTGTCTGTATGGACTCAGCAGTGTGTGCGTGTGTGGACTCAGCAGTGTGTGTGTGTGACGAGACCAATCTCGCCACATTGCATTGGAGAAGCCTGGTTGCTCGCCTGCTGCCTTTGGACTATGGCCCCCTTTTAAAAGACTTTATTTTTGCCTGCAGAAAAGCTGTATTCGTGCTTTTCTGCCTGGGGTTCAGTAGATTTGTTTGAATGTGTTATACCCCAGATAGGAATCCCATGGAGCCCATTCGTATGAAACTGACTGTAAAGACTTTGGCTCCATGGCGATTAAACTGTATTTGTGTGGTCCGAGCGCCATTCACTTAATAATGTGCGCTCAGACCTGAGCTATCTGGGGATATGTGAAATGTCTGTGTGTTATGTGTAAAATGTAACTTTATGTATTTTAAAGTGTTTTACTGTCTTTGTGTCTTTTTGCAACCATGTGCTTAATGGAGTCTTGTGTCTGTCCTGGGAGATAATTGAATTACTCTCCAGGATAGAAGACTCTGAAACTGGTTTGGGCCAGAAAGCCATGCTTCATTTAGTCACAAAGGACTTTTTTACTAACTTTTGAACCCCTGGTCTGATTCATGCCATTTTTTAATATGTTGTTCCCCTGAATGGATTGATTGTGAATATGTAATTTTATGTGAATGTGATGTATGGTTTTAGAGTTATGAAAGTTGGGTAGAAAGTATGTTTTAACTGTATGTGTAATTGAGTTTCCTCTCAGGATAAGGGGAGGGAATATGTGGGATGTAACTGTGATGTGATTGGTTGTTTTATACCTCCCTGTGGGTGGTCCTGTATTTGCAAGACTGTAATAAAAACCAGGCTGGGTGTGCCAGCACCTCAGACCACTGCTTGACCCTCAACACGGAGCCTTGTCTCGTTCTTGGGGGGATTCACTGTATGCTGTTAGAGACTGATTGCCAGGAGTGTAAGCTGCTTGTCTGCTTTTCCTGTTCGTCTGCTAGCAGCTATTTGGGAGGTTCCAGTTCGGGAGTTGGAGTGCTATTTTGTATCCAGTTCGGGAGTTTGGTGTTCTGCAGTAGCTGTGCCTGTATCTCTGGAAAGGGGGCCGATCGCCTAAACGGTTTTTACCCCTTGTGTGCAAAACGGTCCGTTACAACGGTCCGTTACAGTGTGTGTGTATGGACTCAGCAGTCTTTGTGTGTGTGTGTGTATGGACTCAACAGTGTGTGTGTGTGTGTGGACTCAGCAGTGTGTGTGTGTATTGACTCAGCAGTATCTGTGTGTGTGTGTATGGACTCAGCAGTGTGTGTGTATGGACTCAGCTGTGTGTGTGTGTGGGGGCTCAGCAGTCAGTTTTTTGTGTGTTTGTGTGGACTCAGCAGTCTGTGTGTGTGTGTATGGACTCAGCAGTCTGCGTGTGTGTGTGTGTGTGTATGGACTCCGCAGTCTGTGTGTGTGTGTGTGTGTGTGTATGGACTCAGCAGTCTGTGTGTGTTTGGACTCAGTCTGTGTGTGTGGATGGACTCAGCAGTCTGTGTATGTGTGGATGGACTCAGCAGTCTGTGTGTGTGTGTATGGACTCAGCAGTGTGTGTGTGGACTCAGCGGTGTGTTGGACTCAGCGGTGTGTGTGTGTGGACTCTGAGCGGTGTGTGTGTGTGTGTGTGGACTCAGCAGTGTGTGTGTATAGACTCAGCAGTGTGTGTGTGTGGACTCAGCAGTGTGTGTGTGTGTGTATGGACTCAGCAGTGTGTGTGTGTGGACTCAGCAGTGTGTGTGTGTGTATGGACTCAGCAGTGTGTGTATGGACTCAGCAGTGTGTGTGTGGACTTAGCAGTCTGTGTGTGTGTGTATGGACTCAGCAGTCTGTGTGTGTGTATGGACTCAGCAGTCTGTGTGTGTGTGTGTGTGTGTATGGACTCAGCATGTATGGACTCAGTATGTGTCTGTGTGTTTGTATGGTCAGCAGTCTGTCTCTCTGTGTGTGTAAGGACTCAGCAGTCTGTGTGTGTGTATGGACTCGGCAATCTGTGTGTGTGTATGGACTCAGCAGTCTATGTGTCTGTGTGTTTGTAAGTCAGCAGTCTGTCTCTCTGTGTGTGTAAGGACTCAGCAGTCTGTGTGTGTGTATGGACTCGGCAGTCTATGTGTCTGTGTGTTTGTATGGTCAGCAGTCTGTCTCTCTATGTGTGTAAGGACTCAGCAGTCTGTGTGTGTGTATGGACTCAGCAGTCTGTGTGTGTGTGTATGGACTCGGCAGTCTGTGTGTCTGTGTGTGTGTGTGTATGGACTCAGCAGTCTGTGTGTGTGTGTGTATGGACTCGGCAGTCTGTGTGTGTGTGTGTATGGACTCGGCAGTCTGTGTGTGTATGGACTCGGCAGTCTGTGTGTGTGTGTGTGCACGGACTCGGCAGTCTGTGTGTGTGTGCACGGACTCGGCAGTCTGTGTGTGTGTGTGTGTGTGTATGGACTCAGCAGTGTGTGTGTGTGTGGACTCAGCAGTGTGTGTGTGTGTGTATGGACTCAGCAGTCTTTGTGTGTGTAGTATGGACTCAGCTGTGTGTGTGTGGGGGGGCTCAGCAGTCTGTGTGTGTGTATGGACTCAGCAGTCTGTGTGTGTGTGTGTATGGACTCAGCAGTCTATGTGTCTGTGTGTTTGTATGGTCAGCAGTCTGTCTCTCTGTGTGTGTAAGGACTCAGCAGTCTGTGTGTGTGTATGGACTCAGCAGTCTATGTGTCTGTGTATGTATGGTCAGTCTATGTGTATGT